TGTATTACACACAAAGCTTTATTAAGACCACTGGTCTTATACAGATTCACCACAGGAAGAAAGGAATCATAGATGGAGCTCCTGTGCTTGATACTGTATTACACACAAAGCTTTATTCAGACCACCAGTCTTATACAGATTCACCACAGGAAGAAAGGAATCATAGATGGAGCTCCTGTGCTTTATACTGTATTACACACAAAGCTTTATTAAGACCACTGGTCTTATACAGATTCATCACAGGAAGAAAGGAATCATAGATGGAGCTCCTGTGCTTTATACTGTATTACACACAAAGCTTTATTAAGACCACTGGTCTTATACAGATTCACCACAGGAAGAAAGGAATCATAGCTCCTGTGTTTGATACTGTATTACACACAAAGCTTTATTCAGACCACCAGTCTTATACAGATTCACCACAGGAAGAAAGGAATCATAGATGGAGCTCCTGTGCTTTATACTGTATTACACACAAAGCTTTATTCAGACCACCAGTCTTATACAGATTCATCACAGGAAGAAAGGAATCATAGATGGAGCTCCTGTGCTTGATACTGTATTACACACAAAGCTTTATTAAGACCACCAGTCTTATACAGATTCACCACAGGAAGAAAGGAATCATAGATGGAGCTCCTGTGCTTTATACTGTATTACACACAAAGCTTTATTAAGACCACTGGTCTTATACAGATTCACCACAGGAAGAAAGGAATCATAGATGGAGCTCCTGTGCTTTATACTGTATTACACACAAAGCTTTATTCAGACCACCAGTCTTATACAGATTCATCACAGGAAGAAAGGAATCATAGATGGAGCTCCTGTGCTTGATACTGTATTACACACAAAGCTTTATTCAGACCACCAGTCTTATACAGATTCACCACAGGAAGAAAGGAATCATAGATGGAGCTCCTGTGCTTTATACTGTATTACACACAAAGCTTTATTCAGACCACCAGTCTTATACAGATTCATCACAGGAAGAAAGGAATCATAGATGGAGCTCCTGTGCTTGATACTGTATTACACACAAAGCTTTATTCAGACCACCGGTCTTATACAGATTCACCACAGGAAGAAAGGAATCATAGATGGAGCTCCTGTGCTTTATACTGTATTACACACACAGCTTTATTAAGACCACTGGTCTTATACAGATTCACCACAGGAAGAAAGGAATCATAGCTCCTGTGTTTGATACTGTATTACACACAAAGCTTTATTCAGACCACCGGTCTTATACAGATTCACCACAGGAAGAAAGGAATCATAGATGGAGCTCCTGTGCTTTATACTGTATTACACACAAAGCTTTATTCAGACCACCAGTCTTATACAGATTCATCACAGGAAGAAAGGAATCATAGATGGAGCTCCTGTGCTTGATACTGTATTACACACAAAGCTTTATTCAGACCACCAGTCTTATACAGATTCATCACAGGAAGAAAGGAATCATAGATGGAGCTCCTGTGCTTGATACTGTATTACACACAAAGCTTTATTAAGACCACCGGTCTTATACAGATTCACCACAGGAAGAAAGGAATCATAGATGGAGCTCCTGTGCTTTATACTGTATTACACACAAAGCTTTATTCAGACCACCAGTCTTATACAGATTCATCACAGGAAGAAAGGAATCATAGATGGAGCTCCTGTGCTTTATACTGTATTAGGAAAAATACAATCAAACCTTGCTATAACAACTTCATTTAGAAACAATATTTCATGTTACAAGAAAATAAGACCTAATTTAAAACAATAATTTAAATAGTGTGTGACGTTTCGGAAAAAGCATATGCAGCAATGCTGTTGCCGAAATGTCATACACTATTAAATTATTTGGATTGGGTCTTATTTTCTTTTTTTTTTTTGCTTATCCCTAGTACACGTGGTACAGGCCATGATAATCATGGTGGGTAGTTAGCGACTGCTTTTTACTGTAAGCGCACCACATGTCTACACATGTGAAAAGCAGTTCGACTTTGCACTTACAAATGCCAGAGCCCCGTTTGGTTACTTGCACTCGCTGGTGGGGTTGGACTTTTGCAAGAATCGGGGGCCATTGGAGCATTTTTTTTTTAAACAGAAAAAGTGTCCAATGCGGGAATCGAACCCGGGTCCTAGTGGTCGAAAACCAAACGGTTTAACCAGCCTTCCACCAACCCCCGTCTTATTTTCTTGTATCTATAATCCAAATTGTGCTTTACCAAGATTTTATGTTGTTGTATATAACCAGGGTTAAAATATACTTTGATTTTTTAGAATTGTGATGTTATAACCAAGTTGTTAATACACTAGAACTACCTCCCTGTAAAGGACAACACCTAGTTGCAGAGCAAAAGTGTCTTTTAGGGAGAGGTGTCCTCTTACTGGAGAATTGCTAAATAGTAAAAATGGTAATTTTGCGAATGAAAACTGTCCTTTGTAGAGAGGTGTCCTTTAGCATGAGTGTCCTCTCATGGAGTATGTTCTACTGTATACAAGATAGCAAGACCATTTCAAATACTTCTACTGTGTGTGACGTTTCAGTAACAGTGTTGTTACTATATTCAGATCTTCTTCTTTCTTATCTCAAAGCCATGATAATCATGGTGGGTAGTTAGCGACTGCTTTTACTGTAAGTGCACCACATGTCTACACATGTGAGAAGCAGTTCGACTTTGCGCTTACAAATGTGCCAGAGCCCCGTTTGGTTACTTGCACTCGCTGGTGGGGTTGGACTTTTGCAAGAATCGGGGGCCATTGGAGCATTTTTTTTAAACAGAAAAAAGTGTCCAATGCGGGAATCGAACCCGGGTCGTAGTGGTCGAAAACCAAACGGTTTAACCAGCCTTCCACCGACCCCCCTATATTCAGATAAAAATATTGAATGTTCTTTTGGAGAGTTTGAAGATGATAACAATGTTGTTACTAAAAATGTCATGTATACAATTTATTTACACTCATGGACAAAACTTAAGGAAGTGGAACGTCTTTGATTTTGCCAGTCGTTTTTTTTAAGGAGACAGAGGCAATTTTGTTCACACTTGGATGTAGATGTATTTCTCTGTATCAGATAACATGTAGATTTCTTTTTTTGAATTCTGACCAATTCCTTTTTCAAATTTTTTTTTTTTTAATCTCAGACCTTTTATTAGAGCTTTAGCCATATACAAAGCTTTCCCTAAGAAAGCTAAAGAAAAACTAAAAGGAAAGAAAATATTTACTCAAATTGGCTAGTTCTTATTTTGATATGGTACAATGTGGATTATGGATTAGAAACACAAGGTAATAAGACCAAATAAATATTTTCTCTAGATTATAATTTGTTGCCTTTTTTTTTTACTTATCCAAATTACACATGGGGATGATAGTAATCATGATGGGTAGTTCTTAAATATTACACTCATCGACAACACTTAAGGAAGTTGTACCTTTTAGCATGTATATCGGGATTTAGACAATACACTCATGGACAAAACTTAAGGAAGTTGTACCTTTTAGCATGTACATCGGGATTCAGACGATACACTCATGGACAAAACTTAAGGAAGTTGTACCTTTTAGCATGTATATCGGGATTCAGACAATACACTCATGGACAAAACTTAAAGAAGTTGTACCTTTTAAAATGTATATCGGGATTCAGACAATAACTCTAAAAGATATTACAGTGACCTTTATTGAAGACACACAAGATAACCAAGTGTGAACAAAATTGCCTCTGTCTTAAAAAAAATAGATGACCGGCGACATCGAAGATTTTCCACTTCCATAAGTTTTGTCTCCATAAGCGTACCTTTTCTCTTAAGTACACCACGTGTTTACACATGTAGAGAGCAGTTTGATTAGAAACACAAGGTAACAAGGCCAAATCTAAATAAATAGTATGCCACATTTTGGTATTATTGTTACAATCATTAGACAAAAATGCTAAATCTGATGATGGTAACAATGGTGTTACCAAAATGTCACACTATTTATTTGGATTTGGTCTTATTACCTTGTGTTTCTAATCTATAATCCACATTGTACCATATCAGAATAAGAACTAGCCAATTTGAGTAAATATTTTCTTTCCTTTTAGTTCTTCTTTAGCTTTCTTAGGGAGTGATTTGTATTTGGCTAAGGCTCTAATAAAAGGTCTGAGATTTCAAAAAAAAATTTTGAAAAGGAATTAGTCAGAATTCAAATAAAAAGAAATCTAAATGTTATCTGCTACAGAGAAATACATCTGTTCCTATATTTTTACATCTTCATAAGCTAACCTAACCCCATGAATAGACTTTGAGGATAGAGAGAGATTAATTTCAAAATTATTTATTGACCCAAAGCTAAGTCAATGCCGGAAAAAAAAAAAGATAAAAATATACAAATACAGTAGAACTATCTCTCTGTAAGGGTCACCTAGTTACAGAGCCAAAATGTCCTTTAGAGAGAGATGTCCTCTTGCCGGAGAACTACAAAATAGTAAAAATGGTAATTTTGGTGATGAAAACTGTCCTTTGTAGAGGTGTCCCCTAGCAAAATGTGTCCTCTAATGAAGGTTCTACTGTATCTACATTCGAAGAAGCTCTCCCAACAATGAAGAAGCACTCCCAACAATGAAGAGCGCTCCCAACAATGTAGAAGCTCTCCCAACAATGAAGAAGCACTCCCAACAATGAAGAGCGCTCCCAACAATGTAGAAGCTCTCCCAACAATGAAGAAGCACTCCCAACAATGAAGAGCGCTCCCAACAATGTAGAAGCTCTCCCAACAATGAAGAAGCACTCCCAACAATGAAGAGCGCTCCCAACAATGCAGAAGCTCTCCCAACAATGAAGAAGCGCTCCCAACAATGAAGAAGCTCTCCCAACAATGAAGAGTTCTTCTCCATGCAATCCAGGGGTAAATGCCTCTGATTTACAGAGTTAGTAGATTCCTGACTTGGCTGAGAATGCGATGGTCAGACTTGAAAAGTCAACTCTCTTGTTTCTTATCCCCTTGTGTAAATATTACACAAAGGCAAAATAGCTCAGCTGCCAAAGCTTTAGATTGAGGATCTAAATGTCCCTGGTTCCAACCCACATTTTCCCCATCTTTTTATTTATTCTAAATTTTATATTTTCGGTGGCCAGTGGTATAAACCGTCAATCTCCAACAGCCATTAACCGGGATTAACTCCTACGATGGACACTTTTTTTTTTTATATGTGAAGAACCTGTTCATATTATTCATTGTTGTTCTTCTTCTTTCTTATCTCCACACTGGGTGAAGTAGAATGCGTCTGCCTTTGTCATTAAGACTGGGAGCACTACTCATTAGCAGGCCACTGACTTAGCTCCAAAAGAAATGGCTGCCTCTGACATGAGGAACAGACGCCATGTGTAGCTGCTCCTAACATGGAGAACAAACACTGCCCATCCCTGGATTAGGAGCCCTTACAGGATACTATCAGCCAGGCCAGCTGAACCCAGGTTTTTTAGTGAGCTTGTTACTGCTCCCCCTCCTCCTTTTTCATCCGGGCTTGGGACCAGCAAGGGTGGAGTTATTGTCCATTGTAAATAACATAAGCTAGGTTGCTCTTTTTCAGCGATACCTAATATAGTAATTATGGAATAGGAAAGATTATAAAAATTCCATCAGTCTATGCTCCTCGAGCAGAGTCAACTACTTCAAGTTCTAAGACTAATGCAAGTGGTTGAAGACCTTCCTGATCAGAAGAACAGCACCAGTACTTATGGGACAGATTTCTTGAGAAGAGAGTGATTTATAAGAAGGGATATGTAAATATAAAATTATAAAGAAAAAGATACTTAAATATTTTGTTTGGCCAGTTTTCCTGTATGAATGTGAAGTTTGGACAATGACTGACTAAAGAATTGAAAAATAGGATATTAACTCTTTTTACCATCTGGTATATGTTAGATGAATTGTCAAGATCAAATAGACAGATAAGAGTGACAAAAAAGTTTGGAGAAGATTTAATGGAGAGTTTAATTGGAGAGAACAACAGTCTTTGATTTTCAGACTTAAGTCTGGTCATCTACAGACAATGACTTTCCAGAATGGTTGCAAGGTTTTCCCACTATGTACTAAGTGCAATTCTCAGCCTGCAACCCACATATTGACTGTATTGACTCATCCATTGATGATCTCTACTCATCCCCAGCAGACACTATCAATAAGCTCTACAAGCTTGATACCCTGATATGATTGAGTGAAGATAAGAAAGACCTTCTTAATAAGGTAATCAAAAGGAAATGTGGAATTTTATAGGATATATAATTCACCAAGGATTATCAGGGGATGACCATACTGGAAGGTGGGATACATTTTGAAGAATGAAGGTAGACCAAGGAAGGATTGGTGTTTGATAATCTAATAGTGTATGGTCTGGAATTAGAAGATAGGAAAAGTGAAGAGAACTGCTTGTATTATATGTAAAATTGTTTTTTCCATGATGGCTGACATCAATAATAGGATGAAAACCAAATCAAACAGAATCTAATCCTTCTTTCATAATCATAATGTTTGCAGGTTTTGGCAAAAAAAGGTTTACGGCGATTCTGCAACTTATTTTTTGTAATTATCCTTAGTACACACATGGTACAGGCCATGATAATCATGGTGAGGGCATAATAAGCGACTGTTTTTATTGTAAGTGCACCACAAAGTGCATTTCGACTTTTGCACTTACAAGTGTGACAGATCCGGGGATCATTGGAGCTCCATTCGGTTACTTGCACTCACTGGGGGGGTTGGACTTTTGCAAGATACTGCTATATTGTTTACATATTTGATAAGATTACTATTTAAGAAAATGCTGCGATATTTTTTCTCATTTTATTCTTTTGTCTGAAGATAACAACACTGTCACAGAAAGGTTACATACTATTTATTCGGATTTAGTCATATTATCTTGTAGCTTTAATCCAAATTGTGCTTTATCATTCTTTCTTCTTTGTTGAGATCAGTTCCTTAACTGGATGATATTTTAAAGGATAGTCTTTCATATTTGGTTAGAACTTATGCTGTTCATGTTAAGCTAAAGTTGTTGTTGCATTATCATTATAATAAAAAATATTTGTTAAAGTATTACTCATTTGGATATGAAGTTTGGGTTTGGAAGGAGTGACTGTCATAGCTTTAATACCAGAATATGCTAATTTTCTAAATTAATTTGCATATTCATTTAGGTCAGAAAAATGAAGTTAATAATATACACTCATATACAAAACTTAAGGCCATCTGCCAGACTTATTTGGAGCCTGGCGCTGTACTTGGTGCCCTCTCTAACTGTGCTCCCGCCCTCTTCTTCCCCGGGGTGCTCACTCGCCCTGCCTGCGCCTCTCCACCTCTCTCCTTGGCCTTCCCCCGTGGGGGGGGGGGGGGGGGTGGGCACATTGTGTCACCAAACAATGAGTCTTGCCTTAGAATGCTAAGTCCAATAGCATGTAGAAGGCTTAACAATTGTTCATCATATACAAAACTTAAGGAAGTGGAGATTCAAAAACAATAACAAGCCTTTTATTGGGGACCTATGTCCTACACTAGATTCTCCCCGGTGCAAAATTGCTTAGAAAAGATTAGTTATTTACAGGTGATCATTCATTTACATATCCATGGTTTTCCATTTACACATGGTTCTCTTTTCTTAATGTTTCTTCTTTTGTGCCGCCCTGTAAAACTTGTACAGAGCCAATGCATTGGATTTATTCTTTGTCATCCTAGACAGCAGAGCAAGATGATTTGATCCAATTTTTTTTTTTGTGCAAAAGAATTTTCACTTTCATCCTTTCACTTCTTAATTTTAAACAGAGAAGTGGAAATTCTTTGATGTCACCGGTTGTATTTTTGAAGGAAACAGTAGCAATTTTGTTCACACTTGGTTATCTCGTGTGTCTTTAATAAAGGTCACTGTAATATCTTTCAGAGTTATTGTCTGAATCCTGATATATAGGCTAAAAAGGTACAACTTCTTCAAGTTTTGTCCATGAGTGTATATAAATGAATTCCTGTTATCCTTACTAAAGAATAATAATAAATTGCTGAAACAATAAAAAGAGCCTCTCTTGGAGAAGCTAGATCCTAATATATAATTGCACTGAATATTATTTGAATAATGAAAAAACAGCTTTTTTTATTCAATCGCAGTAAAATGCATAGTAACTATCCCATAGCTTAATTTAGAAAAATGTATGCTTCATATCCCAATATCAAATTCATTTCTCAAAACAAAATGTGAATAACATTTCTAAACATTGTGAAATATGGATAGAAATAATTCCTTACAAAAGATGTATTGATAATCAAACATAGTATTTGTTTGTTTGTTTGTTTGTTTACCCTATAACAGATTTTATCATCATAATCACTTTTTGTAAAGAAAAAAAAAAAAGAGGACTACAAATTATTCACAAAATTATTTGTTCAATTTTTTTGTCACAATCATTGTACTATTAAAATTTTGCACTTGTGTGGAATATTACAAAAGCATTTGAATGCAAATGTGTGATTTAGTCAATAGAACAATAGTGTATACCACTTTTTAAATAGGAATTAAAATGCCAGGTAGATGGAAACTTTTGTGCACTCCACGAGAACACCCGAGTTATAACGAAATAAAATAGAACTAAAAAAAAAAAAAAACTCAATTTATTTACTCCATATGTAAATAATACTTTTTTTTTTTTTGTTTTGTAATTAGATCACCAAATGCTATATTTTTCTTATTACATATGGCTGAAATTTCTATAGCTTAAATATATTTGCTAGCCAAAAGCCAGGGTTACCCTGTTATATAATAAAAATTGTGCTTTACAGTTGAAAATTTTAAATTTGGTAAAATCTGCATAAATTATTTGAAAAACTCAAATTAAAGAGAGAGGAAGAGAGGTACCCCGGGTTCCTGGGGCAGGTTACCACTATTTCTTTCTCAAATTTGAATTTTTCAAGATATATTTTAATGCAGATAATAAACATTTGAATTTGAAAACGAAGTCCTTTGAAACGGTTTTCCAAAAAACTATTAAAAAAGTTAAATAAATAAATAATGAGGATATGACAGCGTTTGAAAAATTATATAAAGATTCAAAACGTAATAAAAAGTTTATTGGCTATAAGAAGCGTGCGTTATATATTTTAATAAACTCTACATTTTTTTTATTAAAAAAAGTTAAAAGCATACATTCTTTAGAAACTATAATTTAATAATATTCTTTATTTATTTGTTAGGCAAGGAACAGTGTTTATCAAAAAGGTTTTCCTTTTTAAATATGTTTATACTATTTTGATTCATTTATTGACATATCTAAGTCCCTTTAAAAAAAATCGTTAAAAAAAGATATTTAAAAGAAATTATAGATTTGTGCTGACAGTTATACAATTACTATTATTGGCTTTGAAAGCATGCTTGAGAATAATTTTATATAGAGAGACTTCTATAAATTGATACATGTTCTAAAAAAGCTTTATATGTTAGATTTTAAAAATATATCTTCAGTTTTTTTTTTCAAAAGTGCTCAATTATAAGAAGGTTATGAATTAGTGCCAAAATTAAGACCAAATTTTATATATTTTTCTTATCTAATGCTTGAAAATATTACATAAAAATAGAGTAAAGCCAGGTTCTTGGAGCTCTAGCGCCAACTAACTACTCCTTAAATATATTCTAATACCCGAGTTTTCATTCTAATTTCAAAAATATTTCAATATAAATATTTTTATCAATTAAGGTTGCAATGGATATTCCAAATTGATATTATATATGAGATTTTAACATGATTAAAGAAACCAATATACATATATATTTAATTATAAAGATATTCTACCTATTCCATAATTATCAAAAGTAAATATTCTCATATATTTTAGTTTATTTCATTTTTTTAAAAATTTAATCAAAAGGATGAAAAGTTTTTGAACTTTTTAAAAATTTTTCAAAGCTTGCTTGAACAAAAATAAAAAAAACGCAAAATATTTCAATAGTAATTTCTTAATTCATGATAAAAATTTCTCAAATTGTGAAAAAACAAACTTCTTCCATTCTATTAATATTTTGAAAATGTATTAGCAACTACGAATTATTTTACTTC